GTCGGATGTTTAAGGCAAAACGTTCAGGCAGTGTTGTGCTCTAAGCTCTGTACATCTCGTGGTGGGGCTGGTTACTTTCCACACACACACACAAAAATTGTAATAGAAAAGAAACATCTTTATAATTGACATTTGACATGCTGTTTGGCTTAGGCTGTGGTAGACCAAGCACAGATTTCCCTCTGATGGAAACATTTATCATCGTGATTGCTGCAGAGTGGCAGGTGGTGTTATCAATTACCTCTTCTTACCAATAATAATATTAGTATGGTAATATCTTTGCTCGTGTGAGAAGGAATTAGCGGTCAGTTGTCGCAGCTTTAAACGGAAGAAACTATGTTGAATTTAACCCCAGGGTCCTCAAACAAAAGTTATGGTGAAAAAAAATAAAAAAAATAAAAAAAAAAAAAGAGTGGGAAGAGAAACTGCTTCAGCTTGCCAGGAAGAGCAGGAGACGATGAAAAATAAAGTCGAAATAATTGCACGCCCTTTGAATAAAGTTGCTGAGCAAAATAACAATGAAATACAGCAGTCGGATTGCACAGAATGCCACATCCATCTTAAGAGCATGTTGGCAATTTTGATGGGCTTAAGAATAACAATCTTGCATAAAGCGTTAAGTGTAGACGGAACTACTTCTACGGTCTTTGTGGAGTCGATCCTGCGGATAAACTTTCTGAAGGCTTGCGCTAGGATACAAATGAAAGCAAACCCATAAGCAGGCATCCCATTCACGTTCATAATAATAATTCAAAAGAAAGAACACGGGGTACTAAGAAGTACCTAACATTATTAAGCGGGGTGGGGGGGGGGGGGGGGGGAGGGAAGAAAAAACGCGATGAAAGGATGCGAGAAACACCGCAAGAGAAGACGGCAAGTAGCAGAGCGGGTTTAAGTGCGCAGAACACAGCAGCTGCTGCGTCCCACCGCCGGCACGGCGCTTCGACAGAGCGGGGAGCGGACACGGGTGGGCGGCCCTTTCCTTGCGCGCACCCGGAGCGGCGCGCACAGATTTGCGCGGCTCAGCCTTTCGTCCCCGAATTGGCCGCGTTTCTCGTAGCCCAACTTCAGCCAGAACGTCGTTTCTTCTTCGTTTAGATTCACCCTCGAGTCAGGGAGATGAATTATAAAAGGCTGGTGGAAAATTTTTTGCGGTGTAACGGAGAGCAGCGGGGAGGGGAGGGAGATCGGGGGTGAAGGGGGGGGGAGAGGGGGAGGCAGGGGCCGGAGGAACGCGTATCACTTCCTAACTTTCCACCCTCCTCCCGAGCGCGCCACTCCTCCGGGCTTTTCCCCGCGGGTCGGAGGAAGTTTTCCTCTCCGCATCGCACCGCTCCGAGCCGGGCCGCTCCCGGGCGCATCCCCATCGCATCCCCATCGCATCCCCCATCCCCGGGGGCTGCCGCACCTCTCCCCGCTCCGTTCCCATCTCTCTCCCGGAGCGGGGCGAGGGAAAAGGAAACCGTCAAATGTATCGCTTGAAACCTTAGAATATGGTAATGTCGAGAGATACAAATCTGGTAATTATGCCCTTCTTGACTGTTGCGTTCTCCATTGTTCATTAAGCATTAAAGACAGGATTATTTCATTTTCCACTTAAAGATTCTCTCACGTCCCGCAAAATCATATTAATTTTCGATCACTTTTTCACGGCAGACAAACTTTTGTTTCCACAACGCAAAGGGTTGCTATATTATTTTTTTTTAATAGCGCTCCAGGAAAAGCACTTTTAAAAGGCTCTTCCAGAAATCGTACGAAGCACTGAGCAATGGAAAATGCCCAAATTTAGGGGGAGGAAAAAAAAAAAAAAAAAAGTGTTGTTTGAGCAACAGCAAGAGATCCCTTCAGATGTAAACTAGTTGAAAACTGACCCAATTTTGGTACTCAGTGCAATTCGGGGAAAATGCTTGGGAGAGGTTAAAGTGCGTCCTCTTCCATCCCAGGCACCCGCTGCAGATGTGGGAGGCGGCGGAGCTCCCTCACCTCGCGCAGATCGGGGAAAATGGACTTCGGCGCTTCAGGAGAAGCCCCAAATCCAGTTCCCTGCCCGCGGCTGCGGTGCCGCAATGCCCGCAGACGTTCGCTTTCACCTGCGCTCTGCCTGCAACATAACGCAGCATATGCACACGGCATAACGTGTTATTCGTGTGCAATAAATCCCTATTTCTGATGGGGGGAAGGGGGGGGTGAAAGCTCAATTAATGGGCTCGTCCCCTCCCACTTCATACTAGAAAATCACATTAGATTTCAGCCTTCGCGATCGTCTCCAGATATTTTACGCTCTCAGTACGACCAAACTTTCAGCGAGGACGGATACACGGAGAAAACACGCGTTAGATTTACAGACGGCAAACAAGGCTTTCAAATTATAACGATCAACGAGAGGGGTCTCGTGTACGCATCCCGCTAAACGAAGGACAGAAAAGCACGCCCGTCTGATAGCCAAATGGCACAGATTTGGCGTTTCAGCACTTTTTCTCGTAAGGATCGCGCCCGTTTTTAACGAATATCTGCACCGCAGAAATCACTGGTAGTTTGCACGTCACCGAGCTCCCCGGAGTGGCCTAAACTGCCGCTTCTAACTTTATTTGGTTTGCCCACCAGCAGCAAAGCGGGGGATAAAGCGTGAGCCCGGAGACGCGGTATCGCGACGCCGGAGATAAAGGGAGCTATCAGCAGGGAAAGTTTACACAGAGTCCTCTCCCAAAGCAGCCGGGGTTAGTGTGTTTTAAGGACTAGGGCTGGATTACACGGGCTGCGGCGGGGGTATTAGGAGGAAATCCCTTTCACTCGGCCTCGCCTCGCTCCCCAGCCCCATGCGCAAAGCCGCCCGGCGCCCCTCGCCCCCGCTGCGCGTCCGCGCAAGGGCCGGGGCCAGCACCGCCGGGGGGCCAATCTGCAAGTGGCACTTAAAATAATAAATAATAATAATAATAATAAAGAGAGAGAAAGAGAAAAAGAAAGAAAGAAAGGAAAAAAAAAAAAAAAAAAAGCAGAGGGGAACAGCTGGCGGAGCCCCCCCCGCACGGCCACACGCACACTCAGGCGCGGAGCTGCGCGTTGCGCGGTGGAGATCGGCGACGGTGGGGTACATCCTAGCGGCGGCTCCGTGCCATGGGCGCCCGGCTCTGTCGGGCGAGGCCGCGCCCGGAGCGGCAACTCGTGGCGGCGGCGGCGGAGGCGGTGGGACCGGGCGGGGCGGCGGGCGGGCGGG